GAAGACAAATACCATATGATTTCACTCATATGTGGAATTTAAGAAGCAAAACAGATGAACATAGGGGAAGGGAAGGAAAAATAAGACAAAAACAGAGAGGGAGGCAAACCATAAGAGATTCTTAACTCTAGGAGACAAACTGAGGGTTGGAGGAGTGGTGGGTGGGGGAATGGGGCAACTGGGTGATGGGCAATAAGGAAGACACTTGATGTAATGAGCCCTGGGTGTTATATGCAACTGATGAATCACTAAATTCTACCTCTGAAACTAATAATACAGTATATGTTAATTAAATTGAACTTAAATAAAAAAAATTTAAAATATGTGTCATTTATTACATGTCAATTATTATTCAATAAAGCTGTTTTTTAAAAATGGAATACAGCCTCTGAAGCATGTGACACAATATCAGTCTAACCTATGTGTTGTTGAAGTACAAGAAAAAGAATGGGACAGATGAAATATTTGAAGATATGATGGCCAAGATTTAACAAAATTAGTGAAATATAGCCACCCATGAATCCAACATGACCTATGAAACACAAACAGATAAATGCAAAGAAGTCCACATATAGTCACAGTCTAGTCAAACTGCTAAAAACAAAAGATAACAAAATTGTGAAAGCGGCCAGGGAAAAAAAATAAAAGACATAATACATGTACAGGAACAGTGAGAAGAAAAATGACTGACATCTCATCAGAAGCAATGACAGCCAGAAGACAATGGAAGCACATCTTTGAAGAGATGAAAGACAGACTGTCAGCTTACAATTCCATATCCAGTGAAAATACTCTTCAAAAATGAAGGCAAAATAAAGATACTATCAGACAAAGGCTGAAAGATTTTGTCTCTAGTACACCAGACCTATACAAGATGTGAAAAGTCCTTTAGGGTAAAAAAGAAAGGATACCAGAGAGAAACTCAGTTCTACAGGGAGAAATGAAACACCAGACAAAGTAATATCTTTTTGAAAGACATACCATTGTGTCAGCTGGATCTTCCAGAAAGTAAATGACAAGATAGAGTTAGGAGTGCAAGAGGTTTATTGAGGGTGATGTCTTTGAAAGATAAGAAGAGGGCTCAGAATTTGGCAGGGGAAGCCTTTAGACCACAATGTAAGTTGAACATCTGAGAAAGGAATGGGAAAGGGAGCAGGATTTGGCAGGAAGTTCTTTTGAAATTTTAGCCAGTCTAATAGGGAGCTCCATAGCAAAGCAAACCCACCAGAGAAGCCATGCACTGTGCTGGAATGGTCAAGTCCTGGCCAGCCCACCATGCTTATTCATCAGCTGCAGGCTGCCTAAGGAACCATGACCTCAGTTCTAAAGCTGAGGCAGGTCCTGGATGTTCTTTAACCAGAGGCTCTCAAATAATTGCACTTCTCACAGCTGAACAGTGAGTGTTTTCTTAAAGGCAGATCTGAGCAGCACACCTAGTCTATGGATTCCTAAACTGTATAAGTGAAAATAGCAACATAACATGAGGATTTTAGTCTATAGTGAAGTAACATATATGACAACAAAGGCACAGAGTATGGGAGGGTGCCAGTTAGAAATACCCTGTATAAAGTTCCTATATTGCCCATGAAACAACATATTATATTTTAAAGGTAGACAGTGATAAGTTACATATGTATATGGTAATCTCCAGAGTAGCGGCTCCAAAATTTTTTGGTTTCAGGACTCCTTTAGACACTTAAAAAATTATTGAAGATACCAAAGAATTTCTGTTTAAATGGGTTAAGTCTATCACTATTTACACATTAAAAATTAAGACTGAGAAAATTTTAAAATAATTAAAATAATAATAAGCATATTACATGTTAAAGTGGATTTTATGAAAAATAACTATTTTTTCAAAACAAAACAATGGTGAAAGAGTGGCACTGTTTTACATTTGCAAATCTCTCTTTAATATCTGACTTAAAAGAAGACAAGTACATTCTCATATCTACTTCTTTAGTTTGTGGTGATAACACTTTTTTTGTTGAAGTATATGATCAAAATCTAGCCTCATACCAATATGTAGTTGGAATGCGGGAGTTGTTTTAATAGTTTTTTTAAAGATTTTATTTATTTCACAGAGAGAGAGTGAGAGAGGGAACACAAGCAGGGGGGAGTAGGAGAGGGAGAAGCAGGCTTCCCGCTGAGCAGGGAGCCCGACATGGGGCTTGATCCCAGGACCCCAGGATCACGACCTGAACCGAAGGCAAACACTTAAAGACTGAGCCACCCAGGCACTCCTTGTTTTAATAGTTTTTAAAGATAATTATGGGTATTCTACTTTGATACTATGCTGAAATTCAACAACTGGTGGTTTCTTAGAGGAATGCAATGTGGAATCTGAATACCTATCAATAAATTCTCATATTGTTTACATTAAAATCCATTAGGCTAATAGTAATCAAAACAATATGGTACTGGCACAAAAATGGACACATAAATCAATAGAATAGAATAGAAAACCCAGAAATAAACCCACACTTATATGGTCAATTAATCTAGACAAAAGAGGTAAGAATATGCAATGGGAAAAAAAGACAGTCTCTTCAACAAATGGTGCTGGGAAAACTGGACAGCTGCATGCAAAAGAATGAAACTGGACCACTTTCTTACATCATACATAAAAATAAACTCAAAATGGATTAAAGACATAGATGTGAGACCTGAAACCAAAAAAACTCCTAAAAGAAAACATAGACAGTAATCTCTTGAACATCAGTCTTAGCAATATATTTATGGATATGTCTCCTCAGGCAAGGGGAAAAAAAATCAAAATAAACTATTGGAACTACACCAAAATAAAACACTTTTGCACAGAAAAGGAAACCATCAATAAATCAAAAAGGCAAACTACTGAAAGATATTTGCAAATGATATACTCAAAAGGGGTTAGTATCCAAAATATGTAAAGAATTCATACAACTCAACAACAACAAAAAAACAAAACACACAAACAACCCAATCTTAAAATAGGCAGAGGACCTAAACTGACATTTTTCCAGAGAAGACATACAGAAGGCCAATAGACACATTAAAAGATGCTCAACATCACTCGTCATCAGGGAAATGCAAATCAAAACCATAATGAGCTATCACCTCACACTGGTCAGAATGGCTAAAATCAAAAAGACAAAAAAACATGTTGATGAGGATATGGAGAAAAAGGAACCCATGGGCACTGTTGATGGGAATGCAAACTGGTGCAGCCACTGTGGAAAACAGTATGTAAGTTTCTCAAAAAATTAAAAATAGAAATATCATATAATCTAGTAATTCTACTACTATGTATTTACCCAAAGAAAATGAAAAGACTAATTTGAAAAATACATGCACCCCTATGTTTATTGCAACATGATTTACAATAGCCAAGAAAAAGAAGCAGCCCAAGTGTCCATCAGTAGGTGAATGGATAAAGAAAATGTGGTATATATACAATGGAATATTACTCAGCCATAAAAATAACGAGATATTGCCATTAGCAATAACATGGATGGACCTAGAGGGTATTATGCTAAGTGAAATAAATCAGACAGAAAAAGACAAATACCATACGATTTCACTAATATGTGAAATCTAAAAACCAAAACAAATGAACAAACACACAGACTTTTAAATACAGAGAAGAAACTAGTGGTTTCCAGAGGGGCGGGTAGGGGTGGGTCAAACAGATAAAGAGGATTAAGAAGTACAAACTTCCAGTTATAAAATACAGAGATGAAAAATCACGGAGATGAAAAGTACACCAGAGAGAACACAGTCAATAATAAATAATACAGTAATAACCTTGTAAGGTGACCAATATCTATATCTATCATGGTGAGGGAGTAATGTATAAATTGTCAAGTCAGTATGTTTTATACCTGAAACTAATACAACGCTGTATGTCAATTATACTTCAATAATAATTTTAAAATCCATTAGCCTATTTTTACACTTTGAATAGATCTTTTATACATGATTTTATTACATCATGCATTGGTTATTTGGAAAATACTGGTTTACTGAGATATGTAGGTCTTTCAAATGTTAACACATTTCATTATATAATATCAAAAAATATCATTAATATCACCAATGACCTAATAAGAAACATATCTAAATATTGGGAAAGTGCCAAACTCTCACACATTTACGAATTTCCACAATTCTTTTTTTTAAATCTCCATAATTCTAAATTTTGCTTGAAAGATGAAATTGTATCATTAGGAACATATAGTGTCAGAGATGACAGTCTCATCTTACTCATTTTTGAGAAATTGTCTGCCAAATACCCAAGTCTGAGTATTCATATTTTTATCTGTCAGTAGTTTTTCAAGGAAGAAATGGTTTTCCCATGAGAAAAAATCAGCTACTTCAATCACAAACACAAATAATTGCTCAAAAATGCTTTCTGCTACTTCCCATTTTGTCACACAGAGTATTAAAAAGTCATGTATTCAAGGATCAAGATTTAAATAGAATTAATAAATTTTATTTCATCAACAGAAATCTTAAGTGACACTGGCTTTTTTTAGAAAAACCCTTTTAAGTGTGTGGCAGTAAAGAATGACTACTAGTACAGTTCAGTGCCACTACCTTGATTCATGCTAAATGGATCAATAGTTTTGCTTATTGCTTTGTACCATCTGTGTGAAGGTTAACACATTTAAAAAGGCAAACAGCATCTGAAATATACTATACAAATAATAAATTATAAAAATAACTTAATCTTTGGATCTTCTAAAGAATCTTGGGGTCCCCTAGGAGGTCCATGGACCACACTTTGAAAACTGCTGTTTGTCAACTGATCAGGTAATGTGCCATCTTCTTAGTTAGGGTTCTCCCAAATGTCAGTATTTGGAGATCTTTTCTCTGGGGCAGGTGTTTCTACAATCCCCTGCCTTGAAGGGATAGGAATGAAATGAGAATTCTCCATCAATAGGAGTTCTGTGAAAATAAAGGGGCTAAGGGTTTCAATATTCAAACTCTCACCCAACATTCCAGTATATTACTCCTACCTCATGCCTGGAAGTCAGACCTCTCTGGTTCAATTTCTCCATAGAAGACACCTCCTGGAAAATTTCACCTGTCTTCATGGCTGGAATAAAGAAACTCTGGATTGGACTATGTTGTGTTCAGATTTAAACAATCCCTCCTCGTTGCTCGCCAATCTTTCATGGTGTTTGGTACTTCCAATTCATCAACTTCCCTAGCCACAGTTCATGAACAACTCATATAATGAAAGGTCAGGGTACACATGAATCTCCTGAGATCAGGTCAGAGCTGATACTCCATCTCTGATGCCCTGTTGGCCACCTTTACAGCCACTGGATGATCATCCTGTGCACATGGTCTCTATCCACACATAACCTTCCTCTGCTTTTCTTAACTTCAGGTCTGTGGTGGATGCTAGAATGTGCCACCTAGATCCCTCTTCAGGAATGAAGAATCATTATCCCAGCTGCTGGAGGTACAATTGGCAGGCAACCCTCAGTCCCAGACCATTTTGGAGATTGCCTTGGCTGCAGACAGTCAGTTCATACTAGGTGCCTTTACAGATTGGTCCCAGCATCCAATAACTGATCAACATGTGAGCCTAAAACCCAACTCTCTTATCCCAAGTCAGAGCAACTCTGAAAGGCCATCTGAGTTCCACAGACCCTAATGTATGTGGCTGGCTGTAGTCATTGTTAAACTTCCCTACTCAATGTCTCTGCCCAGTCCTGCTTCCTTCCCCTCTTTTAAAATGTTGATCCTGAAAGCATAAATAATAAATGTTCTGCAAACTAGCCTCTACCTCAGAGTCCACTTTCTGGGGAATTCACCCAATCTGTGACCAAGTCAAAATGATGTCTTAGTTTTATTTGTAAGATCATTTCCATATCATTACTTCTTCCTTGGGCACCATCCTGCAAATGTGTACATGGATTCAGAAAACCAGAGCTCCAGTCTCAAGAGGTTATGGTACATTCCAGAATTACTGGGTAAAAAGAACAAGTAGCTTCTTCATGCCTCACTTTACCTCTTCTGTGAAATGGATTACTTGCCCAACTCAAAATAATTGTGTGGAAAGCACTGGAGTCCTATCTCTGCCTCTCACTAGTTATATGACCTCATATAAATCATCTCATTCCTCTGGGATTGATTCCTCATCTGTAATGATGTCTACTACTTATTGAACAAAATGCTAAGAGTGTTACATGCATAATTTTCCATCACCTACATAACCATGTTTGAGGTGCATATTGTCATCATGATGCTGGAGCTTAGGAAGGCAAAATTGCTCACCTGAGATCACAAAGCTCTTAGTTGCTGGCTCTGAATTCAGACTGAATTCCAGGCTGTTCCAAAGCCTGAGCTCTTAGCAATATCTTCTGCAATCTAAAACAGAGGAACAGTGTTAATAACGGCCCTTCTAGTGCTATGGTGCTATGTGTAAAAAGAGGGAAATGAGGGCGCCTGGGTGGCTCAGTCGTTAAACGTCTGCCTTCGGCTCAGGTCATGATTCCAGGGTCCTGGGATCGAGTCCCACATCAGGCTCCCTCCTTGGTGGGAAGCCTGCTCTCCTTCTCCCACTCCCACTGCTTGTGTTCCTGCTTTCGCTATCTCTGTCTCTGTCAAATAAAAAAATCTTAAAAAAAAAAAAAGGGAAATGAGGGAAGGATTATGGAATGACTTTGTGACTAGTAAAATACTAGACAAGTGATACTAATAACTCAACAGTGTTGAGAAGGGAAAGGCTTTATTTGCTATGTTGATGAGAGAAAGGGCTGGCTTATTCCAGCAGTTCCATGTAAAAGGAAACTAGCATTTGCAATACAAAAATGTTCAGTTAATCAAGACAGCTATCTGGAGCCAACATAGAGCTACCCTTGAGCATCTTTCCAGAACTGATTGCTGGGATGCTAATTTGAATGAAAACATTGTTTCTTCAAAAGAATATCTTTCATAGTGCTAAGAATTAAGATTCTTAGGAAGATGGGGATTCCAACATGGGAAAGTTAGGAGCTCAGAAAATCTTCTTCTCCATAAATAAAACAAAACAATAAAACTGGAGAAAAATTGTCAAAAACCAATGATTTCAGGACTCCAAAAATTGACAAAAAGACAACAAACTTAGAATTTAGTCATGAAAAACTACTGAATGATGCAGTATGTGGCCTTATTACTGGGACTGCTCCTACTTCCCCACCCAGCTGGGTCAGTTTCAGTTTTATAAGGGTGGGGCAAGCCCTGAAAACCAAGACTCACTGCGAGGGAGACTTACTTTCTTTGGAGCAGAATGCAAAAACAAACAAAAACCCCTACACCCAACAATGTTATCAGGAAGAGTAGCATCTAGCATCTAGGTAGCAAAAAAGGATGGGGGGAATACCAGTGAACCAACTACTCTGAGGCTTCAGTCTTGGCTAGGGAAAGCAAAGGACCAAAAGACTAGTCAGAAATTTAACAAGGATACAAATGGAGAACCTTAATGAGCTCTCCAGGCTTACTGGAAGGCTGCAACATGTGCAGGAGAAAACAGAGGGAAATTAAGCCATCCATACATTCTTGGATGACCGTAAGAGTGTCCACACATGTGGACACGTGAGATGGCCCAAGAGAAATAAAAGCTAAAGGGGACTTGAAAATGGCCTGAACTTTGAATACATTCCCCAAACTATGCATAGATATATTAGCAACGAGTGGGAACCTTATTGGCTCAAGGTGTTTGAACAGAACCTCTGACTAATCTTTGGCTGACAACTAAGATATGCTGAAGCAGAAGCAACTTCTAGAAAGCCAGGCTTACAAAAAATAAACAAACAAACAAATAAATAAAGTGAGCATAGACACCCGCAGCTGCACATTGTCAGAAAGATGAACACCACGGAATTAGTCCAGACTAGTTTACTAAACAAAAAACAAACAACAACAACAATAACTCTCAGGGGAAAGAACAAGAATCCACAGTTCCTGCAAAATGTTTTCTAAAATGCCAACTTTTATACAAAAGAATTACCAGATATGTAAAGAAATAGTGTGAATAATACTTAGGAAATAAAGCAATCAGTAGAAACTATCTCGGGGGGTATAGCTCAGTGGTAGAGCATTTGACTGCAGTAGAAACTATCTCTGACTAATCTCAGACAATGGAATTGGCAGACAAAGATGTACAAGAAAACTATTTTAAATATATATATTTCAAAGAAATAAAGGAAACCACATCTAAATAATTAAAGGAATAAATGATGACAGTGCTCAAGTAGAGAATATCATTAAGAGAAAGAAATTGTTTTTAAAAACAACACAGTGGAAATTCTGAGATGAAAAATTACAATAACTGAAATGAAAATTTTACCAGCAAGTCTAAAGAAAAGATTTGTGATGGTGAAAGAAAGAATAAATAAACTTGAAGACAGCTCAATGGAAATCTTCCAATAAGACAAGCAGAGAGAAAATGATTTTTTTTTTTTAATGGACAGTGCCAGGGCCCCTGGGTGGCTCATTTGGTTAAGCATTGGCCTTTGGCTCAGGTCATCATCCTAGGGTTCTAGGCCCATGTTGGGCTCCCTGCTCAGTGGGGAGCCTGCTTCTCTCTTTCCACCTGCCCCTCCCCCTTGCTCATGTTCTCTGTCTCTCAAATAAATAAAATCTTTTAAAAAGATGAACAGTGCCACAGAAAAGTGTGAAACAACATCAAATGCACCAAAATATATGTAATGGAGCTCTAGAAGTAGAAGAAACAGAGATGTGCAGAAAAAATATATTTGAAGAAATGATGGCCAAAACCTTCCTAAATTTGATAAAAAATGTTAATTTACATACCTAAGAAGCACAATGTGCTTCTTAGAGACTCACACCTATACACATCATAGTTAAACTGTTGAAATCCAAAGGCAAAGGGAAAATCTTGAAACCAGCATTGCATATAGAACAATACAATTAATAGCTAACTTCTCATCAGAAACAACAGAAATCAGAGACAGCAAGAGGACATGTGTCAACTAAGAATTCTATATCCAGGAAAACTATCCATTACAGAAGAAAGGAGAAATAAAGATAGCATAGAGTTCTTCTGTAGGAATTTTTAGGTTGCAAATTAGACTTCCTTAATAGTTATAGAGCTGTTCAAATTACTCCATACTGGGTGGGTTTTGGTAGTTTGTGTTTTTCAAGGAAGCAGTCAATTCATCTAAGTTGTAAGATTTATGGGTGGATATTCTTTTAGTTATCCTTTTGGATATCCTTTGTTTCATTCTTTTTTAAAAAATTTTATTTATTTGAGAGTGAGAAAGAGAGAGAGCATGAGATGGGGGAGGGCCAGAGGGAGAAGTAGACTCCCCGCTGAGCAGGGAGCCCAATGCGGGACTCAATCCTGGAACTCCGGATCATGACCTGAGCTGAAGGCAGACGCTTAACTGACTGAGCCACCCGGGCGTCCCCAGAATACACATTCTTTTCAAATGCCCATGGGACATTTGAACAGATCCCTCCAGAACAGATCACATTTTAGGACACAAACAGGCCTTAACAAAAACAAAAAGATCTAAGTCATGCCATGAATCTTTTCTGACCACAATGCTATGAAACTAGAAGTCAACCACAAGAAAAAATCTGGAAAGACCACAAATACTAGGAGGTTAAACAACATGTTACTAAACAGTAAGTGGGTCAACCAGGAAATCAAAGAAGAAATTTTTTAAAATACATGGAAATAAATGAAAATGAAAACGCAATGGTCCAAAACCTTTGGGATGCAGCAAAAGGGGTCCTAAGATGGAAGTATACAGCAATACAGGCCTTCATCAAGAAGCAAAAAACATCTCAAACAAACAAACTAACTTTACATGTAAAGGAGCTAGAAAAAGAACAACAAATGTTGCTAAAGGCAGCAGAAGGAAGGAAATAATAAAGAGCAGAGCAGAAATAAATGATATAGAAACTAAAAAAATAATAGAACAGCTTGTTCTTTGAAAAAATTAATTAAATTGATAAACCTCTAGCCAGACCTATCAAAAAGAAAAGAGAAAGGACCCAAATAAATAAAATCACAAATGAAAGAGGAAAAGTAATAACCAACACCAGAAGAATACAAACAATTGTAAGAGAATATTATGAAAAACTATATGCCAACAAATTGGATAACCTGGAAGAAATGGATAAATTGCTAGAAGCATATAGACTACCAGCACTGAATCAGGAAGAAATAGAAAACTTGCACAGACTAATAACTAGCAAAGACATTGAATCAGTAATCAAAAAGCTCCCAACAAACAAAAGTCCAAGACCAGATGGCTGCATAGGTGAATTCTACCAAACATTTAAAGAAGAGTTAATACCTATCTTCTCAAATTATTCCAAAAAAAATAGAAAAGGAAGAAAAACTTCCAAATTCATTCTATGAGGCCAGCATTACCCTGATACCAAAACTTTGCAAAGACACTACCAAAAAAGAGAGAGAGAGAGAGAGAACATCACGCCAATATCCCTGATGAACACAGACACAAAAATCCTCAGTAAAATACTAGCAAACCAAATCCAACAATACATTTAAAAAAATCATTCACCACAATCAAGTGGGATTTATTCCTGGGTTGCAAGTGTGGTTCAATATTCGCAAATCAATCAAGGTGATACACCAAACTAATAAAAGAAAGGATAAGAACCATGAACATTTCATTAGACACAGAAAAAGCATTTGACAAAGTACAACATCCATTCATGATAAAAACCCTCAACAAAGTAGGTTTAGAGAAAACATACCTCAATATAATAAAGGTCGTATATGAAAAACCCACAGCTAATATTGTCAGTGGGGAGAAACTGAGAGCTTTTCCTCTATGATAAGGAACAAGACAAGGATGTCCATTCTCACCACTGTTATTCAACACAGTGCTGGAAGTCCTAGCCACAGCAATCAGACAACAAAAAGAAATAAAAGGCATACAAATCAACATGGAAGAAGTAAAACTTTCACTATTTGCAGATGACATGGTATCTACACAGAAAACCCAAAAGACTCCACTCAAAAACTGCTAGAACTGATACACATATTCAGTAAAGTCATAGGATACAAAATCAATGTACAGAAATCTGTTGCATCTATAGACCAATAATGAAGCAGCAGAAAGAGAAATTAAATAATCAATCCCATTTACAATTATACACACACACACACACACACACACACACACACACAAAGATATCTAGGAATACACCTAACCAAAGAAGTGAAAGACCTGTGTTCTGAAAACTATAAAATGCTGATGAAAGAAATTGAAGAGGACACAAAGAAATGGAAAGCCGTTCTGGGGGCACCTGGGTGGCTCAGTCGGTTAAGGATCCAACTCTTGATTTTGGCTCTGCTCATGATCTCAGGGTCATGAGATGGCACTCTTTGTTGGGCTCCCAGCTCAGCGGGGAGTCTGCTTGAGATTCTCCCTCATCGTCTCCCTCTGCCCCTCCCCCCACACTCACACGATCTCTCTATATCTAAAA